TCATTAGACCTGGGAGCTGGAACGACTTGTGCTCGTTACTGATTTTTCAAACGAGCCGGCGAGGTCCCTGTTGACCCTTTGATGAATCTGGCCTTAGGAGTCTTTGCTTAAAGATGGCTCTGGAAAGTGATGCCTCGGGTTTTACGGAGGGTAGAGCCCAGTTCTTCTCTTTCTTGGGCTGGTTTGCTGGAGCTGGCGGGAGCAGCAGTGTCCTGGGGCTGCGGTGGCCCTGAGACATGTCCCCATCCCTCCTTGCAGGCTGAGGGACCATCTCCAGCGCTCACAAGACACATCCTCCCACCCCAATGGGCCCATGTGCCACCATCCGGAACGGGCTCCTCCCATGGGGGACGACTGTGGAAGGGCTCCTGTCCCCAGCAAGGGTGTTGGGGGGAAACGTGGCTCCCTCCATCATCCCCCCGGTCCCCGAGCACCCACTGCAGCCAACCCCAGCCCAGACAAGAATGCAGAACAGGCACCTAAAAACGTGGGGTTTAAGGTTAAATTTAATTTAATGTACGCACAGACACTTCTGAAGGCAGAGACCGAACTCGCCCTGCCGAACCCTCCCTTGCAAAGAAAGCCAAAGGTGCCACCTTAGCTCTGCCCCCTCGAGATGCTCCAGTGCTCCTGCCCTGGAGGTTGGGCAGCAGCCAGCTGCACCCATGCTGGTGTCACTGGTTTCAGGCTAAACACGTCGTGCACCATCCTGCACTGTCGCACTGCTCATCGGTCCCATAAAGGGACGAGGCTGACAGCAGGCAATGGCCGAGGACCCCCCAAGTCCACGGCGAGCACCGGAAAAGGCTCGGATTGGGTCTCCCCACAGATCTCAGGGCTGGGGAGAGGAGGATTTCCAAGAAGTCAACCGTGAATTTAGCAATTTAGGCTGCCTGGGTTCTCGAAACACCATTGCAACAGACTTCATCTCTGTTATGTTCAGATCTAGAGAACGTGACCTGAGTAAAGCAAAGCAGGAAAGGTGAGGAGGGAAACTGAGGCACAGAGCTACCCTGAAGGCAGTGGCAGAGCGGCCAGAGCCTGGGCTGGTGGGAAGCAGGCGGCTGTGGATGAGGCTGAGTGCTGGTGTAACAGACACTGGTTTAATGTTTTGCTTGAGCCAACCACATCTTCCTGCATCCAGTGGGTTTGGGCATCTCATCTAGGTGCTGGTCCTGCAACGGGGGGTGATGAGATGAGGAGAGATGTCAACCGCGGAGTGTCCTTAAGCCAGAGTGAGGAGGAGGACGAGGTGCCCCAGGGCCACCAGCATGCTGGTGGTGGTGCAGGATGCAGCAGCGGAGAACTCACCTGGAGGCAGAGGGAGACCCGGGGTGTGGGGAGGGCTGTGGGCTGCCCAGCCCTGGCAGGGGACACCCCGACCCCCTCCCCAGGTGGGCTCCTGCCACCCACCAGCCCATGGTGCAGGGGGAAAAGGGACCCACCACTCCTGACCCATGGGCCACCTCCAGCCTTGCAGGGACCTGCTGTCCTCAGGGTCACTGCCGCTGCTCCGGGGACCCTTCAAAGCCAAGGCCACCTTGCAGCCCACCCCTCCCGAGTTTTGCCATCTCATGCGCGCACCGTGGGCAGTACCTGTCCAGGAGCAGGGGTACCTGAAGGTCAACGAGGCATTGTTGGAGGAGACAGGGTTGCTGACTTTGCAGATGTAGGTTTCTATTAAGGGGTTGAAGGAGACATGCTGCTCAGAGGCACCCGCGCCCTCCAGCGGGAGCTTGCTGGGGGCGATCCACTCATAGGTCACCCCTTCGAGCCCCACCGAGCACTGCAGGGTGGCTTTGCACCATGTCGGGTCATCCCTGATCACTTTGGCATTCACAGTGGGCTTCGGGACCAGATCTGCAAGAGGCAGTGGGATGTCACAGTCTCCCTGTCCCCTCATGGGGCTCTGGGACAACCCTCCCGTCCTCCCAGCTCACCGTACACTGCCAGGAGGATGTTTTCAATGTGCTCCTTGCCCAGCTCATCCTCCAGGTACACCTGGTACATGCTGCTGTCAGTTTTCTGCAGGGAGCTGATTTTTAGGGTGTTGTTGGGGAAGAGTTCCAGGCGTCCCTTGTAGGTGCTGTTGGGGTACTGGACCTTCGCACTGCTGTCCCGGCTGGCGATCTTCACAGAGTTGTTGCGTCGCCAGTGGATTTGGTGGTAGGTCTGGTTTTGCAGTCTGGGACTGAGATACGCCACCCCATGAACAACCCCGACCACCTTCGATGATGGATTGTGTGGCGCCCGGGCTGCTGAGAAAGCAGAGACTGGTGCTGCTTGGCCAGCCGGACACGGCCCACACCTCCCTGGGACTCGTTCCTGCCTGGGGACCTCGATTCCTCTCAGACATGCGGAAAATGCAAATAACCCATTTGCTCACTAATTCCTAACGCCTTTACGCTCTCTCAGCCTTGGAGGCATGTTGCAGGGACAAGCCCTACAGCTGGTGGTGGGATTTCTGCCTCCTCGCTCTGAGCGTGGGACCGCCCAGATCCCCTGGTGAAGGTTTTTTTCCTTCGCTTTCATTTTTGGGGTCCTCTCCCCACTCCAGGCTCACCCAGAGCAGCCCCTCACCCCCAGCTTGGTGGTGGCGATGCCGGGGGCTCCCACGGGAAGGGAACCAGCGGGTCGCACCTCGGGCACAGCGCTGGGATGGGAAAAGCTTGGGGGAGAGAGTGGGGACAGGAAGGGTTTACCCACGGGCACGTCCCCAAGGTCCCCCACCGTCCCCAAAGCCATCTCCCCCCAGCCCAGCACCCTCGCCCCGGGGGAACCCACCGCCATACCTTGCGTGATGAAGAAGAGGAAAAGGAGCACCATTGTAAGCCCTGCCGCCATCTTCTCTCTGTGTCTGCACCCAATCCCCAGGGTGGAAATCCCCCTCGCCGGGCAGCTGCTCACTGAGGACCCACCCAAGCCTGCAGCCCCCTGCCACCGTCCCTAAACCTGGGGCTGGGGGGGCTCTGCAGGAAAGGGACTGGCGGGGCAGCCACGCGGCTGGGAGACGGCATGAACCCACCAAAGTTCCTCCTTCGCTTCCGGGCTGCCTCAAGAACAAGTCACCGCCCAGGGTTTGCAAAACCCAGGGGGCTCGTGACACCACCCCATGGGCGAGAACAGGCAGCAGCCCCGAGCCTCCCTGGGGACAGCATGCACAGCACCCCATGGGCCCCCCACCCCCCTATCAGAGTCGCCCCGCCATCCTGATGGTAAATGAAACGCAGACCCCAGGGGTCACATCTCCCCTTTACAGCTGCTGTAACCAACGCACAGGGTTCCCGTTTCTCCACCTGCAAACCCAGGTCTGTGTCCTCGCTGAGGTCTGGCCCCCGGACATGCCATCAAGCAGCCCCAGCTTGAGCGGGGACCACCGGCACCGGCGTTGGGGGTGTCCCCGTGACCCCGGTTCGCAGGCGATCAGTGCAGGTGGGAAGGAGATGGGAGGGATGACTCCCTGATGCTAAAGCACGTGCTGCAGCCCCAGCGCGCTGGCCTCTGACCAGGGCAGATGCTTAAAACAACGGATTTTAATTACGGCCTGGATTCCTTCCTGAAAGACAACGTTTCAGGGCCTTTGTTCGGCAGAGGCCAAAGGATGCACGGGGCAGCGAAGCCAGCGCAGCCCCCGCGTCGGGGGCAAACAGCCGCCGGCGTCTTCCCACACGCCTCCCCAGCCGTGAGCGAGGAGCACCGGGGCTGACCCTGGCCGTGAACAAAGGGCGACAGCGGCACCCGCTGAGCCCTGACCCAGTTTAATTTCAGCCCTTGAGCAGTCCCCGTCCATCGGGGAGGGGATCCGATGTCAGCGCGGGGAGACATTAGCGCGAGCACACCAGCAGCCACGCGATGATGCTGTGGCTGGATCACTGGCACCGATCCGGTGGCACCGTGGTGCCAAGCACCTGCTGGCTTGTCCCCGCACCCGATTACACCGCTCTGATAGAAACCCGTGGAGATGGGAAAGCAAACTTCCCTGGCAGGGAGCAAAGTGCTGCCTCAGCGCTTGCAGCGAGTGCTGCAAATTATCTCCAATATGCAAAAGCAGGTCATTAGCATAAATT